CAGTGTGTGAACTCTGATGTCCATGAGTACACACACACACACACACACACACAGTGTGTGAACTCTGACGTCCATGAGTACACACACACACACACACGCACAGTGTGAACTCTGATGTCCATGAGTACACACACACACACATGCAGTGTGTGAACTCTGATGTCCATGAGTACACACACACACACGCGCACACGCACGCACAGTGTAAACTCTCATGTCCCTGCCCTCGCTACCTGGCTAGGGGGCTGCTTTTTATTGAGGCCATGCATCTGATTCTTCCCAGCAGCCTGGAGGCTACTCTGAGGTTTGGAATCCTAGAGCAATCTCACAGCTTCCAAATGCAGCATCCTCTTCACTTCACAGTTCCTTAAGAATTCTGGTCACGCTTTCCACGTGTTTAGCAAGCTTCTGTTTTCAAGGGTTGCACTGCAAGCCACACTTTTCTCTGCTTCCCTTGCCAACTGGGAGTGTTGAGGCGCAGAATCTCCAGTGGCTACGCCTGAAAGGAGTGTTTTCCAGACGCTGTGTCTACCACCTCGGAGGCCAGGGTTCCATGGCTGACCCGGAGCCTGTGCCCCCCTCCTGCAGGACAAAAGGCGAAAGAACAACTTTGCTCCCAACCGTATGAATCATTTATACGGCGACTGAAGAGACAAGGAGTCAAATCAATGCCTAACTTTTGGGTTGAAAGTTAACACCAGCATCAAAAAAATTTTTTTAAAGGCTGGGCGCAGTGGATCCGGCCAATGATCAAACATGACAGGGTCATGGGAACCCCTAGGTTTGTAGCCAGCTGGTCAGATGCGTGGGTGGCATTCTCATGGGGGTGCCCCCACCATGTGAAGGGCGGTCTAACCCCAGTTAAAATCCGTTGCAGACTTAAATGATGGGTGTGGCTTGCGGGGCTGGGCACAGACCTCCCACTTCCGGACTCGGGCCTGGCAGGGGCTGTGCCTCATGTTTTCTATCCAGAGCTGAGGCACAGTGGTACCCTACGGTGCTGGCTGAGTTGATCTTCCATTGGTCAAATTACCTACCACGTGTGAAGTTGCTAACCACCTGCAGACGTGGAAGGAGCGCCGAAGTCCCCTTTAGGTCTGCATGCTGCAGGAAAGCCGAGCCGGCAGTGGAGCAGCCTGCTCCTCACAAGCCTCCTGCTCGCATCCAGTGCCGACTCATCCATTCAGTGAACACTTACGGAGCACCTACTGTTTGCAGAGCCTCACAACCTTGCAGGATACTGAGCTCTGAAAGTGAAGTACCACTTTTTACCCCCTCCAAAACCAGAAGGGCAACTAAGTCAGTATTTCCTTTTCATACCAACGGATTTCTTCTTGTTTTTCTTTTTGTAGAGATGGCATTTGGCTGTGTCACCCAGGCTGGAGTGCAGTGGCACGGTCACAGCTCACTGCAGCCTTGACCTCCTTGGCTCAAACCATCCTCCTGCCTCAGCCTCCCAAGTAGCTGGGATTACAGGCACGAACCACAGCACCTGGCTCGTATCAATAGATGTCTAATTGTCCTTCCAAACAAACATCGCAGCGGTATTCAGATCTGATAAACGCATGAAGCTTACGGCAGGTGCCGTAGTGAAGTTGGGTTCCTTATACTATTATTCCTTCATTTGAAGCAGTTGACAATTTCCATAATAAAATTTACTTACTTATTTTCTCTGACACAAAG